CGTGATAAAACTTAAACAACGCAATGCCTGATCGCTTTATATTTGGTTTTGGAAGAAAACAACTTAGGATTAAGGTATACATATATTTTCCTTAAATATTTACATAAATTGGCTTTCGAGTAACGTAATTGTAGATGGCGGTAGCGGCGGCGGCGGCGGCGGCCGCTGGCAACATTATGTCGGTTAAATAAAGCCGCTTTAGCAATATCTCTTACTTTATCCTACCTTGATTCAATTCTACAATCTTGTTTCAATCTCACTAATTCTAACTTTTTCTTTTAAGCTTATTGCTTGTATTTAAATCAGTGGCAATTTTATTACATAACCAAGGGACAATTTTTCAAAACTCAGTTAAATTTGAACTGAAGAATAACTTTAAATATTTGACAAGAATTGTCCATACAAACCTGTTAAACGTTAATTTTATTCTATAGTGATGATTGAAAAATCATTCGAAGTCATTCGATGATTTTCACCCCTTAAAAAAGTGGAGGAACTATACTAGACACCCAACTAAGCATTTACACAGGATCTGTCTACTCGTAAGAAGATAAAGCGTGATATTAGGTAGTAATAAAATAGTATGTCCAATAGGTAAATACGAAGGCCTGGCATTCCATCAGATTCAATCAAAAACAAATTCCATATCAAAAGTCGTCACATATCGTTTTTGCTCAAATTCCGGCCATACTCGGCCATAGTTTGATCATTTTACTTGTGGTTCGAAGCCCGGCACCTAAATAAATTGACTCGACCCGACAGAATTACGTGACAAATATATTACACGAGTAAAATAAGATTTTTATTGAATCTTTGTTGAAAAGAAAATGTTCAGTCGAACGTATCTTTTGAAAACAAACAGCTGAAGCGGAGTAAATGAAAGTAAATATCTTTGCAGCTAAACCGTTCACTCATAACAGAGAGAAATATCGTCGATCCAAGAATAATATTTAATCCCCGTATATCTCCACAATTGACTCGTACATTTACATAAGGTTCACAATTCTATCTCCATTACATTACTCACTTGCGACCTTTTTCTATTAACTCTATGAATTCGGTGAGTATCAAGCTCAGCCATCAGGTTGGAAATGTAAGACCTAGGGATTATATAGGTTCCACAAGGACCCGCAATATTTTACAATGTAGGTGACGGCCGGCCGACCAATTGTGAGCGCCGCGCTCTACGTGCTCGGAATTCACAGAAATTATTGAAAGGATCGACTGAGTTAGTGCAGATTACTCGTTGACAACTTTGCGGCTCTTGAATATAATAACACAGAGTTATATGACGAGTTCTGTGCCCTTTCACGTACGTGAGCAGTTGTTAATCATATTATGACGCTACGATTAACATTACCCTTCTAGATCATAGAACTGTTTGCAAAAATATTGTTTTAAATCACACTCGTAGCTGTGAAGATTATCGAGTTCAAACAAACGTAGATACGACAGCGTATACATTAAATAAACCAATAAAACAAAATAAACAATATCGTTTAATTTATAACAGCAGCAATCCTTCGTTAATTGCTTTGTTTTGTATTACAAAACGCCATTTGTCTTAAAGTTTACAAGTTTTAAAGGGCAAATTGTACATTTCACGGGCATAAAGTATCTTCTGGTTATTGCTAAGTATGGCTAAGAAAGCAATGTTTATATTGCAGGCAGTGTCCACGCTCCAGGTGCCAGATATTTATCATAATTTAAAATTATCATTACAAAGGATCCATTTAGACTAATTAAAATACACATAAAATGGTACCTGGCCTCCTGGCGGCCCTTAATGGCAGAAAACAAAGATAACAATGGCGACGCGATAATAAAATGTACAACTCAATGCTTTACAGCCTCTTTGGTCATTTCAACTGTTCTGTTCAGTGAAACTGAGGAAAATGTTCTTCAGCAATGTTTTCTTATATTTATTCGAAACAACCTTTCCCTGCCACAGGCCGCCGAAATATTTTGACATCTCCCCACAAAGTATAAATGATGGAAGAAGTTATCTTGCTGTTTACGTCACAACAAATTAACGGCGCCGCGTTTTTACTCGAGTATATTTCATAAATATTAATGAATATTAAAATCGGTGTTTGTAGGGGTTGTAAGCGCCTACACTTGGATGATAGTTGATAGGTTGACTGCTTCTCGTTGATATAGACACGAAGATTGCGTAGAAATGATAAAATAACACAAACTTCTGTGACGAGAGTATATTGATACTTATTGATACAAATGATAAAGTGCAGTGATATAAAATGCTAATGATACAGTTTAAATAGTCGTACAAAGGTGCTGACGCGAGTCGCGACAGTAATTATGTATATAAAACTAAATTAAACCTGTACAGTTGTCTGTACAGTGTTCATGAATCACAATATCCAACAGAAGTTCGACGGCCGCCGGTGGCGCCACCCATCGGAACTAATAACTTATGAAATGGCACAACTCGCTCGCTGTTTGTTTAGATTTCTCGTCTGAAACTTGCGAAACGTGTCACGTCTAACAGAAGTCGTTCTGACGAACTTAACGTTTAATTAAACAAGTTCAGCTCACTGTGTCCATGTTTAATGAGCTGCCAATGGCCGTCTGCGAACTTTGAGTTATGACGTCACAGCACAGCGCGGCGCTGACAACAACTGCTCCGCTAGTTTTAGCTGTTATTATTCCAGTAAGTAACGCAAAGTTGTGAGCACCCTTCAAAGTATATTGTTTCAGAAATGTTAAACAATACCTTCGTTAATTAGGAGGCGGCCTGTTAACGAACACCTGTCAATTAGTGCCGATAGACGGCCGCTGAGATTGTAATGACGTCACACTACATTACCCCGCTCCTTTAATACTGTTTATCGATAAACAGCTAAGTAGGCCTTTGATTAGTTTCATATTGTACAAATATTATCTTACAATTTTTAATCAACTTTGAAACATAATGAAACATTTTACCAGGAGACAGCTTACAAACGACATCCATTTAACTATCTAAACCTGTTTAAGTACTAGTACGAGGTAGGAATGTCTAAATTAATTAACCAAAAATACAAGTCAGTATGAAATGTTTCTAATTTAACTTATATTCTACGTTTATGTTCCATACAATTTTAATTACCTGACGTTTGTAAGTTAAACAGTGGCTCTGTGTTTGTACTTAATTAAACAAATGAAAACATAAGCTCATTACGTTACGTTACCTGAGCCCTCTCTACAATCTACAATCACCAACAAAACACTTTGACCAATTTCATATTCTCCAACTTGTAATATAACTACTTACATATATTGTACTGTACTTACATCGTGTTTTAAAATAAGAAAAATTTCGAATGAATGACCGAAAACGACATTGTTTGCACAAGTAATTCAGGATTGTAAATTTTACAATTACAGTTTCGAAAATAACCTAAATTGGTAGTTAGTCTAACACGCGTTAAACTTATAATATTACAGAAATAATTTAGTATGACGGTCCTGCACATTGCACCAAATCAATTCGAGTGTATATGAAATCTAGATAAATAACAAAGCTCCACAGACTTCAACCGCAAAGGAGAACGAACAAACAAGCAAACAGACATAGATACAGACACCGAGCCGTGGCTTCGTATCCCATGTACCTGTCGCGGAGAACCAAACGGGTAACCGGGGCTCCGGCTCGACGTGCAGGAGAAGGAACGGGGTGGTTTTTAGTCAGTAAGAGTCTGACACTCCCTTCCGCCTCACCCAGGCGGGAGCAGTCATTCGATGATTTTCCCCCCTTGAAAAAAAAAATCCCATGTACCTACTACGTGCTAATTAAATTGGCGGCAAGTCGCACTATACCCGGCTAACTAGGCCCATTTTGTAATCTACAATACTCATAGATATAATTAAGAAGTTATTTTTAATATATCTGTGGCAATAGTACTAACGAGATCATTACTTTTTATTACTAAATACTTTTTTATTTTTATTTTGATATTTATAAAAACGCTGCCCTACATTAGAATTATCTCCTGCGTCGTGGGTGCGTTTACAAACATACAAGTTTACATACACATGACATCCAGACCGAACAGTGCGGAAATCGAACCCGCGACACGTTGCACGGCAGCCGGTTGCCCAGCCACCGCAGCAACTTATGTCCTTAATACATGTACTTTACTCTGATATAAGTTGTACTTATTTATGACATAAATTAACAATCATGGCTACGGAGCTTATTCTTGTTTGAATGTTCAAGAACTCTGATATAACTTGTACGATAAAACTGATTGAATAACATTCTTAGAAAATACTCAGCAGTGCCTCAGTCAGATGGTTTAAACTAACTCAGTACAAAGAACCTTTATTTTATACCTTCATTATATCCCTAAAGGAACATTATATTTTCCACATAAACCTAAACGGTTTTTCTACAAAAACCTCGCATGAAATAACGATCACAGTAACCCGACGGTAGGTGATTTACTTATGCTGGCAACACCTCTGCTACCCCCTAATTGTATCGAAATCAAGCTTAACGAAGCTCACACAAAGGTGAGGTACAATGCGCCATTTTGCGTTCCCTCTCGAATTTATTAACGAAGTGTAAGCGCCGTCTTAGGGCCCCTGACGAGAATAAAAATATATCTCGTAACGAGTTTATATTTTGATGTAATTATTGTACAAAGCCGGCAGATTTGTACAGGATCTACCGGGACAACGACTGAATAATAAAGAGATTTTTTTGTCATTCTTTATATCAAATTACGCTGAATTTCATTTATTTTTATTTATAAGTAATATCCATTCATCAATTCTCTTTAATAACGTCTCTACGTCTACCGCATTACTGAAGAAATGGGCAGAAACTGGTCAGTTTCTCATTTTCGTTATCAACTTTCCCAAAGCAGTGAGCAACAATTGCTTACAGTCAACAAGTGTCAATTGCAATAATCGAAACTACAATAACTTTAAATCTCAGTTTTTATATCATCAATGTAAGTACGTCGTATGAATAATATCCTGAGCCAGTACACCAGTCTGGGCGGTCCCGGCGTGGACTCTCACGTGAGACACGAGTGCGGCGAGGCAGTGCTGCACGCCAGGTTCCTGGTCAACGAGGGAGCGCTCGTCACTGCCACCGCTGACGACCAGCTGCACCTCTGGACCTTCCGCCAGAAGTCCCCGCAGCGGCTGCACTCCCTCAAGTTCCAGAGAGAAAGGTAATACAGTGAAATATTACAATAAAACCCTTTATATTGCACGATAATTTAGTTTAGACGTCGATGACTTGATTCGTAGAATTGTTCTTGTCATACAAACACGTCAACTAAATGCTGGAAGTCATCGGTAACTAAATTCTGAGAAACATAAAATGTAGTCCACTACTGTAATGTTACGCACAGCTTGCTTGCAAGTTCTATTGCGTTAAAGATAACAATATGGAGGAACTCACGGTGACGCGACAGTGTGTTACATATTGAAGGTGTCAGTCAACTGGTGCAGTAACACTTGCAAGTAAACATTAAACAGTAGTTTCACTAAATAATATTTTTTTACCTTTACCGACATATTCCAAGTAACATATCAAAGTGGCACATTTCCATAAAGTTAGGAGCGTACTCCACGTTGTGGAAGTATATCATTTCCCCCGCGGTACAGTGCGGAGTGTCCGCGACAGTTTACTGCGACAAATATTCCAGCAGTAAAAGTTTGAGAGCTTATTTTTGAGCCACACTCCAGCACCGCAGCATCGGAATACCGTAAACTTATACAAATTACGAACTTGCGACAGTTCTATGTGCGGTGACTTGAACCTGTCCTCGTCTGGACGGAAGTCACCCAGCCACCCTGCCATCCACTGTTTGCTACAATTACAATAACTTTTATAGTCCCCCTGCCCCCCCCCCCCCCCCCCCCCCCCCCCCCCCCTCCGTCTCATCAGTCCGGGTGTCCTCTGTCGTCGGCTGGCGCCGCATCGTATTTCATTCCGCTCGAGGTGGCTCCCATTATTCTGTTGAAGATAATTTTATGGCTCCAGCCATCTGTTTGTTGGCAGATTTTTTGTTTGTTTCCAGACGATTGATATTAATCGTTCCGGAATTGTGTTCGTTATACAATGGCTTCCTTTATCGGTCTATGAGTTCTCTTGTCTCTACAAGACAACAGAGCAAAGCAAATAATGTCACAAACTATTGGCGTTACGTAGAAAAAAATATATTTTCGTATTAAGTACACTTCGTCAATGAACAACACTCAATACGAAGTACTTCTGAATGAGTAAACTCCTGTGAGATCGGTTTCCTGTTGTCTAACGTCGACAGCCTCTTATCACACCCCATTAACTTCCACTTTTGTCCACGCAAATATGGCGCGTGTTTCTTTTGGTCATCATCGCCCAATAAGAACTAAATCGCTTGCAATAGCCGTGGGGGTTTATAAACAGAGCGGCCCGTCGTCGGCCGCGTCCCCTGGCTGCTTGCATACAGAGCAGTAATTAGATACTCGAATTAACGCCAACCCGCTGCGAGCCGGGTCCGGTCGCCGCGACCTGACTGATTGGGCCGCACTCGTGACGGACATTTTCGTTCCATATTAACTTTATATGGGGCTACGACGATGTAACGGCACTATTCCCTGAGATTTACTGTGTGCTCACCAGAGGTCGCTCCTCATTTCCGGCATGTTCGTCTAACCATTTTCCGGCGCTCGTTTGCGGACATTTCCGTCGATTTTCTTTCCCTAGTTTATTTTCTATTTGGTCCGACGACGTAACATTTAATATTTGCTCGTAAAATGTTAAATAAAGCTACAGTACCCAGTCGGTACAGTAATTAAGATCGCTCGTTTACATTTAAAACGGAATTGATGAAACTTTGCAGACAGTTTACAATCAAACTTAATTCGTCATAAATCAGAGAGCTATTGTCTGTCGGTCGTTATTATTGCTTTGTTTAATTTATCACTAGAGGGCGCCGCTGGCCGTGGGCTGTAATTACACGGTCCGTTGTCATGGCAACCTGGATGCTGTGTCGTCCTGACTCTCGAGTTGTTTCCTCTTTAGTAGGTAAACACAATACACGTCTTGTCAGATTTGAGGAACTTTGTATGCATAATTAGGTCACACGTTGTGCTGTAGTGTTCCAAGGGTTGACCCGGCAATAATATTAAATGAATATACTCAGGTCCATTAATGGGTATTGATTATGTTTCAGCAAGTAATAATAGAATATTTTAATTTAACACCAAAATATTTAAGTGGCATTAAGTTACAAAATAAAAATATAATAACTTAACTTTCACATCTTCACTATCTGACTTATTCACTTTGATTGACTGATTGATCGTCCTCACATCCACTAAATTAGTGATACACCCACACACATACACTACTTCAGTCATAGAGCGACCCACTCACGCAATCTGACAGTTAACCCGTGACACGCTCGCGGGGGTACAACTGACCAGCCTTGACTTACTCATTGATTGAGTGATTCCTTTCAACGAGTTACGAACTAAATTGGAGGAAGAAATCAAGTTATGTACATTATTTATTCAACGGTTCAATAGTTCGTGTGGCTTATTTTACCAAGAAATAAAGACATGAAGTCTGCTGACCAATGTTTATCCGTTTTCTAAGCTAAGCGCTGCTGTGGTTTGGTCAGCTTTATATTGCAGCAGCTAATGAATGAATATTGTAATTTATTGTTTGGAGCATCGCAGGGTTCTATTGTTGGGCCAACCGACGTTATTTTTGGTAAACGTCAATATTCTCTGACTGTAAAATATACACTTATTCTAAAGATACAGCCTTACTCATAGAGGGTCGAGATTAGGGTGAGCCGCACGACATTTTTTATTATTGTATTAACTGAAAGATACTTATATATAATGTACTTTAAAAAAATGACGTCTTTTAACTTTTACTTTGCCATTATTAAAAGCAATAAGAAGCTCTATCACCAGCACACTGAGTACACCTTACAGTCTCCCGCAGTCGTCATGTGACTAACTCTTAACACTTCATGATTGCCTGGTACAATCGCATGTCAGTGGTGACTAGTTTATTTTTGGAAGAACATTTGGTTAGACCACTGCTGTGTGACTGTGACAGGTTTGAATATAATATTTATAGTAAGTACTTGTAGGTACTAGTGTACTTCTATTATTAACATTGTGGGTGCAACAAATACATATTTGCTTATGTTCAAGTCACCGACTTCCGAATGGTATCAAATACCTCAATAACTTCCATTGAATATGAGCACAACAAAATGTCGTCAAGTGTTCGTGTTCTGACAATAAGTAGCGTTACTATACATAGCAACATTGTATGCCGTTGTTCTGTCTGTCTGTTGTGCAGTGGTTACATTTGTTGCACCCCGCGTCTGGACGCGATAGTGACGTACTGACATACATGCACATATAGTTGAGGCGTACATTTTGCGCTGTTACAGATCACGCATCAAACTTTCACTATCGACTAACGAAATAAAAGGGTGAGTCTGTGTTAGTTTGATGTCGCACGCACTTGCACGCACTCGCACGAACTTGCACGCTGTCTCGCACGATCTGTGGCCTCGTCGCCGACTGTCGAACTGTCTAAAATAACTTGTTAAAACTGTCTTGTACAAAATACTGTTGACGTATACTTTCGGAATATTTTAGTTTCCACAGTATTCATTGAAAATATAATTATTATTTATCTAGCAGAATATACTTTAGCCCGAGTATCTACTTTTACATCGTAGGTATTGGTTGTAAAATAAGTTAATAGGCGAAATATTGTACATACTACATAACTTGATGCATGTCGTAGCCTGTCAAACACGCGCTGTGTCGTAAACTCGTATCATACTGCACTTCTCGGTGTTCTAGGAATTGCATGACTATTCAAGTTCTAGATATGTTCACACTCACTGCTTAAAACAGAGAAATGTATGTTCTTCTTAGACTAGTTTCTATAGACAATATTTATCTTTAATACTGGTTTAACGCTTACTAGATATTAAAAAACGATAGCCTCTGTGTCGGCTAAAACCCGTGTAACCGTTTTGAATATAAACAGCAAACGATACGAGCACAAGATCGCCACGTAATCGCCACGTAAAGGGTTAATTAAAAAGTGTACAGCGGGGAACTTTATCAGCACTGGCCGTTACGTGGCGGCGCGAAGGTTACAGTATGGCACACTGCATGAAAACAGCAGAAGATCAACTAATAAAAAAAGAACAACTAGTAAATGTGCCATAAAACAAGCAAGTAGAACAAGATCGTCTTTTTTAATAAGTACAATGTACTATCATTAAAACAATGTTACTGTTATCAGCTTGTTACCTAGAATGGACCTTCTGTTCACGTTCCACCGCTCTGTGTCCCTCGTTTAGATAAACTTTTACTGTTCAACGTAAAAATGAATATGTTTTGTAAACGAGCAGTAATCACAATGCCCACGTGTACACGCTTAGTATGAAGTCCGCGGACAAATCTGTTGAATTCGATGTTAGCTCGTGTTAGCCTACATTAGCCTGTGCCATACTTTTCATGGTAATTGTGTATACTTTCAGCTTCATTGTAGATATTACGAGTATGAACTGAAACCTAATTGTAGCTCAGCAAAGCAAAATTTATAATGTAGGTCTATGTATAACTATTACATGTGACATTCACATAATGTATAAAATGTTATGGTAATGTTATTACCTTCATTTTATAGACTTATTCACTATTCCACATACACCTAGAACAGGCTTAACGAGCCTGTACTATAAGTTACTAGGTTATCATAGGTTGGCTGGTGACAGGGCTAGGTATTAACTCTTATATAATAATACAATATGTTATGTATGTAGTAGACCAATATAACTTTATAATAGATTCGATATGACACCTTTACCTGTATGGAATAGTACTTTAACTGGCCACTCCATTGTATCACGACTCTTTGTAGGACAACCAGAAAGCTCTTTGAAATGATATCGATACAGACTATGAAATACAGTAATTTGTATGCTGCTATTCAGCTGTTGAAAAATGTCCAGTATAATAAGTCGCTGTGTAGTAAATGTTGTGATGGCTGTTTGTTTCAGACTGACCACTGAGTGGGTTTGTAATATCACTTAGATTTATTGTTGGTATATTAATATTATACGTACTAGTTACACTTTGGAAAATGTCATATATTTTCTCAATTAAGATTACATATTAATCTGTATATTTGTAACAAAACTGCCAATGCAGCGGTCACTATCAGCTGGTCCCCTGGCAGTTGCCCGGTCATCAAGATTCTAATAAGACTGGCTGTTTTCACCAACTGTTAAGAATGTCCGTGGTCATGTATGGTGAAATATACCTCTAAATAAGTATGGTGGTGTAAATGCGATGTGTGTTTCCAGGATCACGTGCCTGCACCTGCCGCTGGCGTCGAAGTGGATCCACGTGGGCACGGAGCGCGGCAACGTGCACGTCGTCAACATCGAGACCTTCGCGCTCTCCGGATACGTCATCAACTGGAACAAGGCCATCGAAGTGTGAGTACTCATTATCAAATTATTAGAAATAACCAACCATTGACTATCAGCCCATCAAAAAGAAGGGATGTACCTCCTTGGATACGAGTGCATTTTACTAAAAGAAGGAGAAACATCGTCACCGTCAAGTGAAACAATGGTTATGCTTTACCAAAGACATGAAACAACTTTATTAGTCGTGAGAACTTCCCGAACTCACTAAAAACTGTGTCGTATTTACTATAAAACTATAAAGTTAAAAATGTTCTCCGTTATATTTGTTTATATAAGCAGAAAGTTTTAACTATGAATAATTACACGCGACTTATCACAAGCATCCATTATCCGATTAGACATGACTCCTCCGTTTACCAGATTTACTGGCTTCTCACTAATCCCTCCGCGGTAGATGAGGGATTAAGTAGTAGCGTCTTGTGTGCGGATTACAACATGATTTTGTAATATAGTGCGAGTATATCTGGAACTAGTTACTGAATGACAACTGGAAACCAAAGAGGATCTACACGAAATTTGCTTAGCTTCATCTTTCTATGACTACTCTAAATTAACTTACGTGCTGACATTATAACTTATTCATGCCACATACAAATCGGAACCATGTTTGACATTCACGCTGAACACGCTCAGATTTGATCGCATCCTTATTTGTCCGGGAATAGTGATGGACCCTCCGGGAACGCAAATAAAGCCGCGGGAAGAAGGTTTCACTAGATATATTCCAGCTTCTTTTCTCCAAGAATGTATTTACTCGGTAGCCGATCGTAAAGTTGGCCCGCGGGCGAACACGCTATGAATTATAATTTTAAACTCATACATATGCCGCGCCCGCAGTGACAGCTCCCCGTACTTTATCATCTTACGATATTACTTCCTAGGGGCTCGTAACCACGGACGGCGGGATTTTATCACGCAGCCAGAATCATGCAGTTTCCCAAGTAAATACACTTACAGAAATATCTCGGTTCGGGTTTGAAAGCGTCACATACTTGTGGAGCGCGTGGCATCTCAATTTGTGAGAGAGCTGAACACATAAATATTGTGCGGCGTCGGTCGGTCCCTCCGAGTCTGTCGCGAGTCACTCCGCACCCGAGGACTTGTTATTTATATGCTGAGCTCATCAACACTATGGGCGAACATTCAGCAACAGGGCGAGGGCTGAGTGAAAGCAGTATTCTGTTTATCCTTTATTTCTTAAAAGAGTGATTTGAATAACGTGTTGTATTTGGCCACTCACAGCTCCACAACGTGCACTGTACCTCTACATATATGTCATCGCAACTTAGAGACGCAGTAGTAGCAGTATTCTTCAAACATAATGTCTATATTCCATCGAACGCCGTAAAACATAAAATCACAAAAAGCATTTTCTATTTTAAGCTCCTGAAATATAAAAATAAGAATTTTAGTGGCAAAATATCGCGGATAATAAAAATTTGGTGTGAACATTTTATGTGGCAGTCGGTCGGCTCGTCATTTGGGAGTCTGCCTACTCCGGTGTGTAACGTGCGACACAATGCCGGCGCTTTACGACCTCACACAGTATCACATGTACCGCCTGACGGTTTAAAATCTGTTTTATGTTATCACCGAGGAGAATGGATACACTCAGCGTTATGCCGATCTCTAATCTGCTCTTAGTCTCCAGCATCCCTTTCTTAATCATGAATATATACGAAAATATCTTATTTAACCAAATTTTGTTCATAATTCATACAAGTGGTTAGTATCTCCGAGTTTAAGATTACATTCATGTATAGCTACAGTTAACGTTAACTCTTCGTGAAAGGTTAAAGCAACATGGCTTCCCACGCAGGATGTGTGTTATGAAAGCTGTCACTTACAATATCTTACATTATCTTATATTGTAGGGAATCATCTCCGTCTCGTTGCGATAACAAATACAATTTTCTAAGACGTTCTTTTACATCAAACAGTGGCAATATTTCATTTCATTTTTTATCTGTGGCTTTTCATTCACAGACCGCATCGCAGATGCTATGTCGTTATAACAAACGTGTACAAGTTACAATCGACGAAACAGTACGAATAATACTCTATACACGTTTCGTGTTTCTTCTACAAACCAGAGCCGATTTATCCGTAAGGCAAACTAGGCAAATGGCTAGGACACCAGGTGACAGAGGGCGGCGGCGACTTCCCATAGTGACGGTGGCGCCAAAAACAATAGGGCGCACTCTAGGTTTAATCTACTTCTAGTACAGACACTGACACATCAAGTAACTGTCATTTATTCAAATAAAGTATAACACCTGTTAAAGCATTTTGACAGCTTTTTTTAACTTACTTTTGTCGCTTGTACTTACATTAGCGGTGATATATTTTGTGACGTTCCGACCGCAGTTAAACTAAGTGTAAGTAGACATAGTAACATGTTGAGAGTGAGAGTGATACAAGTAACGGTAATGTTAATCTCATGCCGGGAGGGAATGTCTATAAAGCCACGTACTTTCTCTACTACAATAGCTTTCATGCTATCAGATGTAATGTGTTTTTATGCGTAGGCGACGCAGGCGGTAACAGTGTCATCTTCTCGATGTCTTCTCGATTCTCGGTGTCGATTTTGTTTTTTTAGCGATTTTACTGTTATTATCACTGGGAGTACTTTCAATATTATACTTCGTACAAACTGAAAGTGGCATTAACTATGTAATTATGTATGTTATATTAATATATAATGTAATCTGCACATAACACGCAAATAACTAAAATAAAGTATAGCCTCCTAAAACAACGTTTAACGTTCTCCTGTGTCGTTTACAAATATACACATGACACACAGACCCGGCCCTGAATAACAATCTGTGGATCGCACAAAGAGTCGCTCCGTGTGGGAATCGAACCCGCGACATGTTGCACGGCAGTCATTTGCGCAACCACCGCGCCAACCGTGCAACCAAAATGATGAACTATTGTATTTACTGTATATGTTATGTAACTAGCTATAAGTATCAGTTGTAAACAAGTTCAGTTACCTCTCTTTCATGAATCTCCATACATCCATCGAACATGTCGTAGCATGTCGTAGCAAACTTCGTACCTATTCGTAGCCCCCGTAGCCCCCGTAGCTACACTCACAGTTGCTATGAAAACAGCTACGAAGCGTAGTAAGATAACTCCTTGCGCAAGCTGCTAAAATAATGTAGAGTGTACTCATAAAAATAATTATTACGTTCTCCATTATTTTATTTTTTTTTATTTAAAAAACTGTTTACCCTGTGATATTACAACAAGCAGGCCATGTACTTATTGTTCTAAGTGACCGGACAAACGAGCTTCTGTTGTTACTGAAGCGAAAAATAATTAAAATTCATTCGTTAATTAAACTTTCGTCAAAAGTGAAATGTTTTGTATTGAGTCTTTTGTGTAGCGCGTGGCGTGAGCGTGGCGTGTGCGGGGCGGGCGCGCGGCGGGAGCGCGGCGGGCGCGGTACCGAGCTGTCAGCGACACGTCGACTAACTTTATTTCCTAAAGTTGTGTATAAACAATCGCGAGAGTGAACGCTGACTTAGCTGCTATATATAATTGGTCTGAGAGGTTTGGAATAGCTGTGAACCCGAATAAATGTCAGGCGATTATGGTGGGAAGTTCTCGTACCTTGTGTAAGGTTGATAGTGCAACTATGCCGCCTGTACTGTTCAATGGTGCGATCATACCTTTCAGCGGCGACGTGAAGAATCTTGGCTTGTATGTTGACAGTAACTTAAACTGGCGTGCTCATGTCACTAGCATATGCCAACGGGTCACCGGGACGCTGCGGGCCCTGTATCGTTTGAGAAACTTTCTTCCGTCCTCTGCTAAGATAATGCTTGTCCAGTCCTTGGTTTTCCCCATTATTGATTATGCTGATGTGTGTTTTTTCGACCTGAATGCAGATCTACTTAACAAACTTGACCGCCTTTTGAATACCTGCATTCGATTCGTCTTCAACCTGCGTAAGTACGACCATGTCTCTGCATTTCGATTGCAACTAAAGTGGTTGCCCATACGTCAGCGCAGGGAACAACGGGCGCTAACCACTTTATTCTCCCTTCTTAATTCTCCCAATTCTCCTACTTATCTTTCCTCATATTTCCAGTATGTGAGCGCTAACCATAGCAAATACCTCCGTTCTTCTAATAATCTTCTGTTACAATGTCCCACACATCGAACTGACTTCCTTCACTCTTCTTTTTTCGTCCAATCCATCTTGCTGTGGAATGCGATGCCGACGGATATCAGGACGGCGACCAGTCGTCTGTCCTTCAAATTTAAGGTTCGTGAGTATCTACAGAAGAGGCTAGCAGACTCAACACACACTTAGGTCTTGTACGTATTTACATATATGTATGTGTATAATTATGTATGTATATATGTTATGTTATGTATTTTTCTTCGTATATTTAGGTATATATATGTCCCATACTTATTTGTCTACTGTTCGTTTTGCATTACGTATATATTTTAATACTTCTTCATTATATTTAATTAGTATATATTGTGTGATATGTATAATTATATATTATGATGTTAATGTTAATTGTTGTGTCACTCTAATAAGTGTTAAACGTTTACACCTACTATTGTATCTCTCTGCACCACCCTAAGGTTGACTGTTAGAGAATGCCACTAGGCATTAAGTCCGCCGTTGTATATCTACAAAAAGTGTAAATAAATAAATAAAAAAAAATAAACCTGTGCGGAGTTGGTGCTCTGTTAGTGGCATTCATTATATTTTGTTAATTACACTTTCAAGTTTATTTCGGACTTAGTTTTAATTGGCTCTCGTACGCCGACAGATCCTGATTGTTCTTTGAGAGCTTTGAATTAAATAACGATACCAGGTAGTGACTATGGGCCCGCACAAGAGGAAGTTTGTCATTAATGGTATTCTACCAAGTTCCATGTTGCTCTTTCCTTGCAAGTAATGTAAATCGTTTGTTCAGCAAGTGAAAGCCTTATTTGTATCAAAGTGACTATAGACACGTAGTTGTTGGAAGTTGGTCCAGTAGTCAGTCGGCTCCATTAATTGCATTCGAATGTTACTCGGTCGCTTTGATTGGCTCTTTGAACGACCTCACCGCGCGCTGCCCTCGATACTCGTCATCCCCGATTCTGTTGTATAAACTGTTTGTATTCTCATCTATAACTACGAATGGAGACAAGGGACTTACGAAATATCATATTGTGCTACGTAAATGACATTAATATTGTAGCCTTATTTAAACAAAACATTCGTAGCCATGATAAATGATAAGCGTTGACATTTCACACCAAGTTCGTTAAACCATGAAATAATCTCAAGGCTTTCAAATAAAAAGAGCAAAATCTCTCAGCATCCTGTCTTGTGTTACAATTTGTAAGTGAGCCGACGGAGCGTTTGTCATGTCAGTGTCCGAGGGGAAATAATTTATCAGGACGTCTTTTCTTTCTTTCCCGAGATCTTGGACTACAATGGTTTCCTCCTCCACTGATTTATTTGCGCATCAGTTATACCTGCCGTGGCTGCGGTGCCGTGAACGTATTACTTTGCTTGAATGATGCTGGAACAAAAATAGAAAGCGATCTGTTTCTCTTCGAGTGAACACTCTGTACAGGTACACTTCCCTATGGTATAGGCCGGCAAACTAGCAGGCGCCTAGCAATGGACACTGCTCCAGATGAGTTACAAGTGCGCTGCCGGGTGGATTTGATGGATTGCGGATTTGGCTTGAGGATTGGGGATGTGGGGGAGGATTTGGCTGTGTACAGTTACCACGTATCGAAGTCTCTACCTCACGTTGCGCGTCGCTCCAGTCCTGGAAGTACGCATCAACCCCGATTAGTATTCACATCGGCCCTGTCCGGTCGCCGACAAAACTAAACGAATACGTGATTCAAATACATTCCCATTTCCAATTTATATTTAACGGAAAATCCAGTTTAAAAGTTGGTTCGATTGAAATTATCGGGGCAGTGCCATCTGTGAACATGACTAGTAAACTGAAACATAAAGCGGCCTACTAGGATAGTTTCTCTAAATATTATTCTAGTTAATTAATGACTGCCTCGTTGGTCGAGTGGTCGCAAGTGCGACTGCCGGGCAAGGGGTCTCGGGTGCGATTCCTGGGTCGGGCAAAGTATTACTGGGTTTTTAAAGAATCACACTAAGTCTGGAATTGTGACCGGTATATGGCAATAGTGGGACTCGTAACTTAAATAGTGAAAAGTGGATGTTACATAGTACAATGGCACAATGTGCACCTCTGTCTACCCCTTCGGGGATAAAAGGCGTAATGTTATGTTATGTTATGATGTTATTTTTGTTGTACGTACGTACGTGTATGTGTATTGTCAATAATACGATGTCTATGGATGTCTAAAACTTGACGAAACTTCACTATTGTCTATTGTACGCTCTATTGCAATATTGATTGTAAAATGATAGTTACGTAAATAATAAGTCAAATCTCCCTTGGTTTATGCGTTCAGTAAGTTCTGCGATAATAATTTGCGGGTGTGGAACAGCTTAAGTTTAATCTTCACATCTTTGCTTAGTAAATATCGTTTATGAGTAAGTTTACTTTATGAATGTCAAATTGAAACTCCCCGCACTCGTTACATAAGTTCGATTAAGTTTACGCTGTAATAATTCGTTAAACTTATATTGGATGTAAGTTTGTCCGTTATTCAATATATGATCGCAGAACCCTGGCGAGGGGCACGTGTGGCCGTCGTAAACTTTGTAGCTCCCATTCAAATCTTAATACCTTCTTAAACAGTAAGTAAACCCAAGTCTCCACTTAGAGTCTCCTACTCTACTCAGAATTGTTTCCCACAACTGTTCTTTAGCAAATCGTAGTTGTACACAACAATTGTTCAGACGTAACAATCTCGCCCTAAACTAGGGAGCTAATAAAGGCTCGCCGCAGTAAATACTAAATTAATTTACAGAGCTGTCGTGCGACAGCTTCCTCGCCAGCCACCATTGTTGTAATCGCAAAATTCACAGACAATAAAGATCGTTATAACATGGCCTCGGGCAGAGGCAACCCTATTACCACGCGTCGAGTTTGCAATTCAAATAACCCGTTCTCATTGGCGCTTGGTAACGAACTTCCGCCAATGGGGTTACAGTAACAATTAAAGCGCCTTGGGTTGTCACCCAACAGCATTGTTAGATATCATAGTATATTTAAAGTTGTAAAGGCATTTTAATGATATCCGGCGGGATCAAAAGCTCTGACAGACAAACGTACCTATTATTAAATTTATTAAAGAATTATCTGGGGGTCACAAAAGAATGGGCTCATTTGTTCGTAACCTTAAAATGAAAAATGACGTTAAAACAGTTTTTAAAGAGAACAGGCGAAATATAAATAAAGGATCATATTGATGTGGAAAATAAAATTAGACAAATGTATGCTTGCCTCATTAGAACTGAGACTGATATTACGCGGATTCCATAAACAAGATCTGCGGGGACACACCAGTGTGGGTTAGGGTGAGTGGCGAATGTGGTGATACAATATACAATGAGAGTGCGGGATGCGGGCGGCAAGATGGCGGCGTGACAGCTACACGGACTACCTCCCTCCGGCGATGCTTTATATCGCTTATCGCAATAATCGGCGACTCTCGAGCAACAGATGCCAACCAACCACCGCGACACCTATTGTACAGCGCAGACAATAATTACATAGATAACATAGGACTATAGGAGGTGGGTTCCATAGTCGTGGTTTCTGTTTTTACCAGACTGCTGAATAATTTTTCGCGCGTATCTTGTATGTTCGTCACTAAAGCAGATAGATCTAATGCACTGAATGAATTTTGTCATTTTTCCTGTCAATTGGAAAATAAAAAGGAAAATTGTCAGAATATAGCACGCAGGCGCCTGCAGCTGATTCATTAATCAGCAGGCTGAATCTAATTGCAAAATTAAATCCGTAATGACTAGTAACTTATGGAATATCAATACTAAAACTTATTTATTTATTTTGCTACACCTCGTAACGTCAAATCACTTCGCCCACGTGCCGTAGTCAATGTGCTCCGGCCGCTTTATAATGTACTGTACTCTAATATTTTATGTAATCAAGCGTATGTAGAGTTTAAAAAGGCCGATAACAAACTGTTGCTTCGTAGTTTAGATTGAATTCATTTACTCAGTTACAAAGGTGTTATATTAAAACTTTGTTTCAAGCAATACTCACGATTTGTTACTTCTCAATATGGTTGATCAGTCCTGTGCACACAAATTCAGAGTGCAGGTTTAAAATCAAGTGTCCGCGAGCTCCCACCCTCTCCCCCGCCCTGCGAGGGGAGAAGAGGGGGCGTCGCAACAAGTGGTGGCTCCCGTCGCGACTCCCCGTCAATGGAGCCGACGCGATACAGATCCGCTTTGATGGTACCTACACAATGAAGTTGCTCTCCACGACACTTCAGTTCCCTGAAAAAATGTTTCAAAGATAATCCAAATTGTTCTTGTATAGGTACTTGTATGTAGTAAGTTTTAAGAACTGATGAGACGACAGTGATACGTGAGACTAGTTACCAATTAACTACACGTCACGTCATTTATATATTGCTGTCTGGTCAAAAGTGGCATACACAGTACACACTTCGATTCCGGGCGGTTGGAAGCTTAAAGCACAAAGCACTATAGCGCATTGCATTCTTATTCCAGCACGAGGCCGAACCACCCGGGAGCAGTGGTGGAGATCAGCGACAACCCACTCGATGCCAGCAAGGTAACCATATAGTTTTACATTATTCTTACCGAAGTATCTTTATCTAGAATTGCTTGATTTTTGCGATACCAATGCTACGAAATATGTAGGTAGACGGTAATTGTATATTTTTGTATGTTTTATAGACTTAAATTATTATTTTGTACCTACTGTATTATTGATACTGTTATGCATGGGCCTAGTGAGCACAAGTTGTGTCGTGTCGCAGTTGCTGATAGCGTTCGAGACGGGCCTGGTGGTGGTGTGGGACCTGCGCGCGCGCGCGGCGGAGTGGCGCGGCGCGCTGGGCGGCGGCGGGCCGGCCGACGGCGTGCGCGCCGCCGCCTGGCAGCACGACGGCAAGCTCATGACGGCGCACGCCGACGGCGCGCTCGCCACGTGGACCACGCGCGCGCCGCGGCCCTCCTCCCTCTCCTACCCGCATGGTGACTCTCTTTGACTACACATTCTATAGTTTAGATTCCAGTTCCACTATTCTATAGTTAAAAGTTTACATTCAAAATTAGTTATAAACTTCTGACTTGCCTATTTGTAATGTATCGAGAATAAAGTGCTATTAATAGACTAATTAGGCAATGAACATTACACATTGATTTCTGTCACATTAGTGATTTAATTTTCTACAATTTACAGCAAAAGCAAATAAAGATGGCAAACTAGAACCTTGTAAACCTATCCTCAGACTGGAATGGAAGACCTCGAGAACAGGGTACGTTATATTCATATTGTCCGTTATAACCTCGAAGTGATCGATTAATCACTAAGAAAATAGAATCTAACATGAATTTGATGATATATGAATAATTAATTACATATGTCTCACGATGTTCCAGAGAGAGCCTGGTGATATTCAGCGGCGGTTTGCCGACGGACAAAGCGGGGCGCACCCACAGCATCACCGTGCTCAACGGCAAGTCCACCACCGTCCTCGAGATGGAACACAGCGTCGTGGACTTCGTCACGCTCTGCGAGACTCCGCACACGGCCGGTACGTACTCACGCACTCACATACACGCCTACTGTTCCAAAACAAATGACAAGCTTTTTTATTAATATAAAATCTGACATCTGCATAATGAGATATTCAAAGTGACTAGACACGTTGATTCAAATACTAATATTTGTGACCTTCAGTGACGACGAGAGAATACTTATAGAAGAGTGACTGTTCGCATTATGGTTTGTTTAAATGTGTGCTCACACATCTATCCAATATCCATCGATCAAGTATAATACAGCTAGTAGGGCAATCTTTTCCCACGTGCCATGCAGCTTCCAGCGTTGGCTTGTTGATTACAGACTACCAGGAGCCCTACGCGATAGTGGTGCTGCTGCAAAACGACCTGGTGGTGATCGACCTGCAGTCACCTGGGTACCCTTGCTTCGAGAACCCCTACCCCATGGACATCCACGAGTCCCCCGTCACCTGCTGCTCATACTTCGCGGACTGTCCGTCAGACCTGGTACGTGGCATATTAAACACTATCACTTAGAAAGCTGTACAAAGAGTAACCTTGTAATCAGGTATTGTTTGGCGGTGTGAAGGATTTCGTAAAGAGCTATTTTGTTGATGTTTCCAGATCCCAGCGTTCTACTCAGTGGGCCGGCAAGGTAACAAGAAGCCGACGGGCTTCAGCGAAAAGCTGTGGCCCATCAACGGAGGCGAATGGGAGCCCGCGTCCTGCTCATATAACGAAATTATTCTGACCGGGTAGGTGCTCTGCACTCTCCTGTAATTTGTGACTATTCTAACTCATGTATGTATATCAGTTATTCTCATTTATGTTCTGCTCTATTCCAGGCATGCAGACGGCAGTGTAAAATTTTGGGACGCAAGCGCTGGGACCTTACAAATTTTGTACAAATTAAAATGTTCTAAAGGTAGGTAGCGTATTTCCGGGCGGGCAGCGGGGCACAGTATGTCAGTGCTGAGTGTGCAGTATGTCAGTACTGAGTGTGGTATGTCAGTACTGAGTGTGGTATGTCAGTACTGAGTGTGCAGTATGTCAGTACTGAGTGGGCAGTGTGTCAGTACTGAGTGTGCGTGTTGCAGTGTTCGAGCGCCGGTCGGGGGGCGCGGGGGCGGGGTTCGAGGAGGACAGTCCGCTGGCCATCCAACAGATCGCGCTGTGCTGCGAGTCCAGGCGCCTGGCCGTGGCCCTGCCCCACGGACACGTCGTACTCTTCAAGTTCCGCAAGGCTGACACACACGCAGAGACACATGTGACTATCTACCGTTCATTATACACGTCCCAAAACAAATATTTGAAAGGAAACCTTATCTCTCACTGAGATTACTTTTAGAAAGAAGTGGATCGTTAGATTGTTTCTTATATTCACTTAAAGAAATACTTATTAGTAATCATAGCACGTGTAAGTGTGGAGTATGAGGTGCAGGTGTGTGTGCAGGTGTTGGAGATCCCGATGATATCTGACGTGCTGGAGGAGGAGTGCTCGCCCGAGCCGGACGCGGCGCGCTCCATGTCCTTCAGCCGCGGCGGGGACGGAGCCGACGGGGAGGCCAGGAGAGTACGTCACATTGCATGCTTGTCTCACTTACGGTATATTTATATACCTGGCAGATGTAATTGCCAGTGTCAGTGATCCAAAGGCACTTACGTTTATTAGCTCATTAGTTCATTGGCCCGGTTACTTACATTGTGCATTATGCGCACACGCACATTGTGAGGTCACACTGTTACCGCGAGGACTGATATGATCAGTTCGTTGATTAGAACACACATCTTAATAATGCCCGTTAGTCAGTCATCAGGAATCCATCGCCATCTAAAATTGTCAGAACATCAGGAACCGAAAATCAGTGCAGTCATGTGTATGATGATATCGCCTATTTAATATGTGGTTTGGTCGTAGTCAGGTGTATGGGCGGGCGGGGGCGGGGGCGCCGGCGCCCAGCTACGCGTGCGCGGCGCCGAGGGCACCGGGGGCGCCCGCCGCGCCGCCGGCTTCCAGCCCACGCTGGTGGCGCTGCAGCAGGCCGCGCCGCACCCCATCGCCGCGCTCACCATCAACTCGTCGTACGGCCTGTAAGTACGGCGGGCGGGCGGGGCGGGGCGGCTGGGCCCCGCTGACGAGCGCGTGTTGCAGCATGGCGTGGGGCGGCGAGCGCGGCGTGGTGGTGCTGGACATGTCGCGGCGCGCGCTGCTGTGTGCGCACGCGCCGGCCGCGCTGTACCTGGCGCCCGCGCCGCCGCCGCGCCAGCCCGAGCGCCAGCGCTCGCCCAGCCTGGACCAGGTAACTGCGGCGCGCCCCTACTGTCCGGAACACCCTCCTGAACGATAATATTACAAGAAACACAGCGCGTATATCGCTAACTAGCCGGGCCCCGCGGGACGCCCCGGCCGCTCGGGTCCCGGCGGGCCGCCAGGGCGCTCGCGGGCCCCACGCGTGCCTCGCGGCAGGAGACAGCGCGGCTGACGGTTACTTCACATTACGTTTGATTTGCTTTTTTATTTACTTACTTATGATTTGCACCGGCGGAAGCCCGCCGTATCCCTATACTTTATTTTTATAATTTTGTAATTAATTTAAAGTAATTTAGCAGTAGCGCCTCACCCGGCTTGTCCCAGTAGTAACATGGCATGGCATCGTTAGATATTCTTTACACTCGGCCTGTCTTACTCTCCTATCGCATACATCTTAAATAGAACATTTGTTATCTGTCAAATTCACAGATTGTCTGCATATGCTAGGACGTAGGAGTAGGATCGTACCTCACGGTATGCGCTAGCACATAAATGTTGGACGTAGCTCAGTTGTGCAGAGTAGGGCACGGCACCGCACAGTCCCCCGCACGGGTCGCTCGCTCGAGCGCGACCTTTACTTCACCTTTATGTTTGTTCCCATCCGTTATAAGCTGGAGGACAGCGCGGCGCGGGCCAGCCCCGGCGCCAGCCCACACGACGAGCCCGACGAGCCCGCCGCGCCGCCCGAGCCCGCGCCCGACGCAGCGCCTGACGATAAGCCCAAACTCGACACGAGAAGGAAATCTACCACCTGGAAGAATTTCAATCTGAAACGACAACTCTCTAAAGTGGATCTCAAGTTCAAGGCGGCATTTGCGGCGCCCACCGAGAATAATACCGAGGAGATTAATGCAGAGAAAAGCAACTCCCAATTCTACTGCGAAGCCCCGGATCGGGCGCCAGTAGCAGCGCCGGAGCGAGGGCCTGAGCCGAGCGCCGGCGAGTCGCCGCCGGGAGACATGTACGAGCGCATGCACCGCGAGCTGCAGGAGCGCTGGATCGAGCAGGACACGCCGGCGGGGCCCGGACTGGCGCCCGGCGGCGCGGCGCGGCCCGACTGCCTGGCGCTGGGCCCCCGGCGCCTGCTGGGCGTGCCGCGGCGCGAGCGGCCCGGCGCGGGCTCGCTGGGCGGACTCATGCGCCGCTTCAGTAAGTATGGCAGCATCACTCACGCATCACCGACGCCGGGTCCACGGTCTCCGTTGCTAGCACTAGTCGTTCCTCGCTGTACTAGAAGTAGTTGCGTCCTCCGACTGGAATGGTAATGGTTTGCAATTTTTCCTCTAACTCACTGATACCGTAGCCCCTTTACGTTCGGGACCTAGATTTGACTAGCTAGAAGTGATGGTAGTTAGATGTACTGATACGTATTCAAGTATTTTTTTACTGACACAATTCCGTGAGAAGCTATCGGTCACTAACGGCGTTAGTAGGCACGGTAAGAGACTCCGAGCTGCGACTCTAATTGCTTTGTGCTTCTTGTGATATTTGGCTTTTTATCAATTTGGTTTATAAATATTGTGTAATATAATTATATTTATATTATAAGGTTGAGTTATTGTATAAGTGAGAGCCGTTGTCCGTAACTATTCCATGTCACCTGTACAAAGGCCGCACGGTGCTCGGTGCCGCTCGTGTCTGTCACATACTTGTACCTCGTAATCTGTAAGTGGACACGCTGCTCACTCATGTGTATATTTCTTTTATTCCCAAGGAAAAGGACTCGTCCGATGAAGACTCTAACTGCCTTAAATATCTATTCGCAGACTTTCTCGGTAATTGAACAATGATTAATAGTATTAACAGATTGCATCAAACCGTAGGTGATCTCTGTGTTGTCAATGTCTGAGATGATGTTCAGTGCTAATGGTACGAGCTGAGTAGTCGGTATAGATGGCACCACTCTCGCTTGTAGCTTCACATCAGATAGCGCGTCATCTCGAGCACGGGTCCTGTACATGCGCTCGCTCATGCCCCGACTTTCCCCAGGGGAGTTAGTAGCGTGGCTGTGCCCCGTCCGCGACTCGAACGGCGACCAGGCGCACGAGCAGACCGCCAGCGTGGCGCAGCGCATAGGTATGAGTCCAGTCAGTCCCACGACTAACACCGCAGCCCGCACGGGCCCCGTCACTAAACTTGCGACTAATCCACTATCTGGCACAGAGATCACGTCGTCCTAACGAGGGTGTGTGTAACCGCGTGTGGTGTCGTACGGTGTCGTGTCGTACGGTGTGGTGTCGTACGGTGTCGTGTCGTACGGTGGCGTGCCGGCCGGCGCCGGGCGTCGGCGGGGCGGTGCGACTGCGTGTTGTGTTGTAGATGAACGGGCCGG